TGTGTCCTATAGTTAATTTTACCTTAACGACTTTCATGATTCTAAAGTTATGGTTAGAATGATTCTCTTATAGATATATTATATTTAATATACAACATTTTGAAAAGCTTTTTAAGTCCAAGCACTCCATATTTTCATTAAACTACTGAGGACCATGGACTCTCTACCTTACGTTAATATTAATGTGCATAGGGCGTCCACCCTTTCTTCTTTAACTTACGGGACACATAGATCGGGTAAGATTTTTCTTATATTATTCACTTAATTCATTTAAACTTAACAAGTTTAGCTTTCTTAGCTTCTAAGCCAAAATATTTTATTCCCTATATCCATTTATAATTCTACTTTTCTCATAATTCCATTTTCCTTTTAGTATCATGACGACGTCATGACACAAGTGATGCTTTCATCCGTGCAGCTTCGCTGCAGGGTATGCGGACAGATATTAAAGCAATGTGAAATGGTATGCTCTTAGATCAATTATGTTTTTCTATAGTTTACTACATTGTATATTTCTGTTCACTATAATCTATATTGATTTCCTAAGAAATATTTAATCTTTAATCTCTCATTTGAGATTGCGACTGAACAAAGGGCTGCACTATCTTGACCTTTCTACATATAATTTAGCCAAATCAATGCTTTTTCAGTCCGACCACGATAAAGCCATTCTCAGAGGAGCTCATCTTCATTTTAATAATTACACCATACTCTGAGGCCCATTCTACCACGGACGAAGCTTCTTAGTTATTCGCTGGACAGAGTGCGCTGAAATATTACTTTAGAGTAAAGAGATAGCTGACCAAGAGAAATCCTCCTTAGGCTTTCCATCTTCTGATTCAGATTCGGTAAATCACAATTTCACTCTAAATGAAATGAGCCTGACAATTGTATACCAAGAGTTCTCTCAACGTCTAAATTTTCTAAGTATTTACTGAGCTAGCTTTGCCGGGCTTTAGTTAATCTATCCCATTTTTTCTACTGATGGCGTCCAAACACTATTCGGATAACACATGTTAATAATTTTGCCATAGTGATGACATTTTCCGTTACAGACCGACTTAGTACATTACTAGGCGTGTAGTTATCTACATAGGCTCAATTTTATGTGGGTATATGGGCAAATTCGTATTGTGGGAGCTAAATTAACACAATGACTAGCGCTGCTATATCCTGACAAAATTCTATCTAACAACGGCGATGAGTACTGTAGACACGAAAATGATAAGATAACGGCGTCAAAAATGTAAACTCTTAATTATGAAGAAGAACTGGTTTTCAAAAAATCTCTTAATTAATTCATATCTGAGTACCAAGGCAATCCCTGAGACAAACCTATGAATCTCCTTCACTCGCCTCTTTAAACGAAATGAATGATACTTATACATTAACTTTTAATTGTTTTCCAACCATCTCCAAGACTAAACTCTATCCCGACCTCATTTCCAAGTTCCAAATTTGCATCCGCTAAACAGATGGTGCTGCTTCACAAATGCCCTTTTGCAGGTCCATCAAATATGACATATTTCTTATTTATCTTATTCTCTATATAGCTTAACAGAAAGTGTTTTAAACATTCATCTTGGCCAGTTCTGTTTAGCTGTATGAACTTATGTATTATCTGTTGCAAATTTATCGTCATTTCATTTATAAACTATCCATCAACATCTTACAAACGAGTTTCATTTTTTTAGATATGGACCATTTTAGTTGGCCTTCTCTTATATGAGATTCTATTTTTGCTCTGACATCAAATCGCTATTCTAACGCCAATCATTGCTTTTTCAGTCCGACCACGATAAAGCCATTCTCAGAGGAGCTCATCTTCGTCTGGAATCGGACTCCAGTCCGCCTTCCATCGAACCTGTTCCTATGAGAAGCTCTTCAAGCCCACTAACTGACTTAAACTCGCAACTATCTCGCAATTGCGGCCTCGGGGAACATTTGTCTACCGGTCAGCGGACAAATATGCTCACTTGCCCAATCTGCGCTTGCCATATGCAACGTAGTCTTTTTCTCGAACACGTCAAATTTTGCGAATCTAACAATTATTCACTATCATGTGCTGCCACTGTTTCCACTCCTCAATCGACCACAAAAACCATGAAATTTGACCCAAACTATTTAGGCGACCTGGCTCTGACTGGCCTGTTAGCTCTTGGTGCTGTCCTTATGCTTATTGTATTTCATCGATAAGGCGGCATGATTTCGGACATCGGTTGATCTTCAGTTAATTTGTCTGGAGGATATTTTGTTGCTTTACCGTTCT